CAATTCCCTGGTGTTTTTCTGTTCTATACCTACATTTATCAGGGGGAGGAGAGCTTTGCTGTCAACATAAGTGATAGAGAATCTTTCTTAGCTGTAGTTACATATAGGTATCCTTCTTGTCATACAAGAGTCACGAGGGTTTGGGATGATAAATGTAGTCTGATGAACTGGAACAATATCCAGAGAACTAGAAATCATGAGTGCAGAGAACTTCTAGGTTGTAAAGGACCTCAGAAGTTGTCTGCTGTGCAGTACAAAGCCCTGGATTTGGGACTGGAGGCTGGTTTTGAATCCTGGCCTTGCTTCCTTACTTGTATGAGATCCATCTCTTTCATTAACCCTCTCGGGGCCTGTTTCCTGAACCCCAATAAGGAGGTTGAACTAGATGACCTTTAACGGTCCCTTCTAGCTAAATGTAGAATTCTGGTCCACAATGTTCTCCTTCTGCCTCATCCTTCCCTAGAATGAGGTGATAAAGGGGACAATGAAGACTTCTGGGGCAGCTAGGTGGCACGGTAGATAAAGCACTGGCCCTGGAGTCAGGAGGACCTGAGTTCAAATCCAGTATCAGACCAGAGACTTGACACTAGCTGTGTGAACCTGGGCAAGTCACTTAACCCCAATTGCCTTGCAAAAAAAAAAGACCTCCATTCAAATCTGGCCTGAGACAATTACTAGTTGCGTGACCCTGGGCAAATCGCTTAACTTCTCTCTGCTTGTCTCAGGTTTCCTCCTCTCCTTCTTTGCAAAGGTGGAGGGTACCATGAGTGTGACTACATCACGGACTTCCAGATGGGCTCTATGTATTTATTGGCCAGGTTTAATTGCTTTCTCCCCCCTCCTTCTTTTCAAATCTGCATTATAAGCTGTGGATTTCTGGATAGGATAGGAGGAGAAATGACTATAATGTAAAAAAAGACAATAATAATAATGACAATGAGGAGGAAGAGGAGGACAAAGAGGAAAAATAACCAGTTCAAATAGAGGCCATGGTATGTATTATCTGTGGGATCTTGTAAACGTCACTGAGCTTCTCTCAGTTTCTTCATCTGTGAAACAGAGTCTAGACGAACTTTGATCTTATCCTTCCCTGTCTCTGTTCCAGGAGGCTGACAAGTTACCCTTCCTCCTTTCCTTTCAGAGATATTATGAGGACAAGGCAATGATACATAAAATGCCTTGAGTTGTCTCAAAAGATAAGTGGCCCATTCCTTCAGATTGCAATCAGCATCAGCTTAACTCCGAGGGCCTCTGGTGACCTGTGGACTGATGGAGCAGAACGCTGTCCTCCTCGGGGTAAGGGCTCCCAGGGGCCTGGCTGTTTCTGTTCTGATTGTTCTATGGGTCTCCGTTGTTTTTGGCATCAGCCCTTCTCACAATGAGATCCTTTGGTCCTGACCTTTCCATAGCATTCAAGCTAGCATAAAGTACTTCATGGAGACACACAGCTAGGTAATAAAAACAAATATGGCTCATTTCATTTGCTGGAGCTCTCTTCCTCCTTCCTTACTGAAACATGCAATTTAATTTTTCTCCTATAAAATCCATTCCTATTTTTCAGCCTTGTTATCTGTTCTTATCCTGAAAGTATTAGCTCAAGTTTGACAGAATCCATGCTCTGTTCCTCGGATTATAAGACACAGCTTAATTACTTTAATTTTGGTATTTTGCCTATGACAGGGGCCAGGGTAGAAAAAGGGCCTTAAGGCAATGAGGACAGGGAACACTTGATTGTCACCTCAGTAGCAAGACCAGGGTTTTCTTTTTGGTCAGAGAATTTTGTTGACCATGTCAGGATACCAGCCCTTTGATGAACATAGTAGGATGTCAGCTCTTTGGGAGCAGAAATGGTTCCATTTTCCTTTTTTTTTGTCCTTGTGCACCCAAGATTTAGAATAGTTCTAGGTACACAGTTGGAGTTTAATAAATGTTTAACTCATTTTTGGATTTAACTGAAAGTGAAAGTGTCTGGAGTGACACCGAGTTGAATTGGTGTTAGTTAACATCGATCTCATTATCTAAAAATTGCCGATTCTTCAATTGGCTAAGTAAGCAATAGTTCTAATGGTAAGGTCATCGTCTTGGAAAGGTGTTGTGGTAGAAAGTCGGGATGCACCGTGTTAGGACATAGGTGGCTTAGTGTGAATCTTGGCTCTGGACGTGACTTGTTTGGGTCACTTCGTGTCACAATACTTGCCTCTAGGTCTATCTCACAAGGTTGTCATGAGGCTCAAATTCGATAACAGAGTAAAACTCTATATGTAAGTATAAAACATTTATAATATCTGAGTAAAAACCTATAGAAATACAAAATCTAACATCTGAAGAGTAAAACCCAAGCATAAATATAAAATGTTACTATAATATCCTAGGTTTAACCATCCTATGGGTCATTTTTGCTAGTAATGGATTCATGTGTGAAGTAGGACGAGGGTCACAGTTCTCAAAGGGTACAGTGTGGTCAACAACCTCAGGGTTGGAGTAGGATTAGGGAGACCTCTCTCACACTCTATTTGGGCATATAGGGTTTTCAATTGGAAATCCATTAAATAAGGCAATAGACAAACAGCCTATTGAAATCTATCCAATAGGGCAATAGGTAAGTGGTATACAAGGATTGCCTTCACTGTCTGTTTACCATGGGTACCTTAAGGCTAGCTGCATGTTTGTGAAGGAATTCTATTTTAAAGTTAAGAGAGTTTAATCCTGGCTGGGTTATGTTCTAAGGAAAGAATGTGGGGGTGGCAGGGAACAACTTTACATGCTCAGGGAAGACATCCAATATTCTATGAACTCCTGCGGGGAAGAGCAGAGCTCAGTTAGGTTGGTTTATTAACTCCCCTGGTGGTCTGTTAACCAAGCAGTGAATGAAGCTATACCCAAAGCTTACATCCTGAAGTACTCAAGTTGCTGTGAATTCTCAGGGACCATGGCCATGGGAGACTTAACAAACAAAATCTAGCAAGGTCATTTACTATGCTGCATGGCCACACACTGGCCTATAACCTTGTGGTCAAGGGGAAACTGTGATCCTACCATTCTGCCATTCACCCAGGTCTACAACCTAGGAATTATACTTCTTTCTTGCCTCCTTCTCACCTTCCATATCCAAAAAGCTACTAAGAATGTTGATTCTGTCTTCATAAGAGTTCTCACACAATCTCTTTCTCTCAACTCATATGACCCCCACTTGAACTAGTGCAATAGCCTTCTAATGGGTCTCCCTAATTCCCACCTCTTCTCTCTTCAATTTCTTCCCCTTAAAACTGCCAAATTGAGATTCCTAAAACACAAACCCAACTCTGCCATTCCTTTAGAATAACATTCTACTAGATAGCATCTACCAGCTGCAGCCTTGTGGAAGAAATTCAGAATGCTCAGCCTGGTATTTAAAGGCTTCCGCAACCTGGCTCCCACCTTGCTTTCCAATTTTCTTACAGATTATATTGCTTCTCTGACTCTGCATCCCAGCCAAATAGGCCTGCTGGCTGTTTATTATACATAGCATTCATGTGATCCCCTGTATCTAAGGAATCCTCCCGCCTCACTTCTGCCTACAAATCAGGAGCCACCTTTTTCCTATATGAGATCCTTACTGATCCATCTAGTGGTCTCTCACTCTCTGACATTGCTTTGTTTCTTTTGGAATTTATTTATCTGTGAATAGGGTGTTTTAGCCCATCCCTCCCTCTTTAGTAAGCTCCTTGAAGTCAAGGCTTGTCCCATGTATCCCCAGGTCTTTATACCCCCAACACCTATCCACAGACCTTGGTCAGAGCAGCCATTTAACAGTTACTGACTTAAATTGAACCTCTTCCAGACTTATATAACTGTGAAAAATAACATTTGTTCAAGAGTGAGTCTAACTGGAATAGAAAACTACTTATATTCCCTCTTTCCCTGCTATTCCTATTGCTTAAAGTCTAGTGCAGTGTCTGGCACAGAGTCAACACTTAATTGAAGTGAATAAAATTATCCCTCCTATCACTGTGAGAGGGAGCATGAAGCGTCCTCCCACAAGACCTCCATCCAACAGGAGGTAGCAGAAGCCTCCCTCCTGGCCACTTCTGGCCCACTGGCAGGCTATTTGGTTGCATGAATGGAGAATCTGATTAATTAGACAATTCTTGAATGCCTCTGTCACCATCCATGTTGAAAATGCCTCAGAGTTTCCTACCGATAGCCTTCTAAGCAAACCCTATCAGGATGGAAGTGGGAGATGTAGAATTGGTTCAACAGCTCATTATCCCATTATCTGGTCTTGATTAGACCTACTCTTTGTCCTTGACTTTATTTTATGGTTGATCTGCTGTTTTTCAATCATGCCTGTTTCTACTTGAAGTTATCATTGGAAAATGATTTTTAAAACAACACCAACAACAAAATTGCGCTTTTAATTTAAATACCAATTACCATAACAGAAACGGGAAAGCCCGAGTTCTCTGAGTTTGATGATTGAGGGCACCTCATGAATGTGTTGCCTATTAAACATCTCTGCTCTCTATTCTACAGAATCTCCTGGAGAATCAGCACACAAGAAGAAATAGTAATCTGAGCCCCAAAATTCCCCAATATGGATTAAAATTAATAGCATTTATATAAGCACTTTTGATGTTTGCAAAGCACGTCACATATCTTATTTCAGATGATCTTCACAACCCTGGGAAGCAGGTGCTATTTTCATCCACATTTTCTGGTTGTTCAGTTGTTTCCATCATGTCTGACTCTTTGTGACCCCACTTGGGGTTTTCTTGGCAGAGATATTGGAGTGGTTTGCCATTTTCTTCTACAATTCATTTTATAGATGTGGAACACAATATCAACTGTGCTACTTAGCTGGCCCCATTTTACAGATGAAGAAATTGAGGCAGGCAGAGGTTAAGTAGTTTGCCCAGGATCACACAGCTAGTAAATAAGGCAGAATTTTTACTCAGTTCTTCCCAGAACTCCATCCGCCATTTATTTATTTTATGAATATAAAAAAATCAACATATATTTACCTCTCTATACATGCCAGTGCATTCATAGTAGTCACGTGATGGTAGACCAAGTCGAGGTTGATCAATCTATTAAAAAATACAGAAAAACAAACCATTCAAATAGTTTTGGACACCACATTTTGACAAAAGCATTCTTGCCTATCTGTGAGCTGTCTTAGTTCTTTCCATAATAACGACATTCTCCCTATACAGAGCCAAGAGTCAAATCTTGGCTTGATGTCATAGGACCATAGATTTGGGGTTGGAAGGGACTTTAGAGGTCATTTAGTCCAATCCCTCCACTTTAGAGATGAGTAATTCAAGACCAGAGAGATTGCATGATTGTCCAAGGTCATACAACTAGTAAGAGACTGAGCCAGGATCCGAACACATCCTCTCACCCCAAATCCAGCTCATTTTCCCAAGACACCCCAAGGCATAGTGGATAATCTCATGAGGTGGAGGGTTCCTGTTCACTCACATTTACTTCTTAGGCATGTTTCTCAGGACATTTGTTTTTCATGTAGAAGTTAGATCAGATGGTCTCTGAGGTTCCTTCCTACTTTTAAATTCAATGATTCCATATTAATGTGGTACTGGAATAGACCAAGGTGGTCAATGAAAGACTCACAGAATCTCAACACTGGAAGGTGCTACGGAGACCACTAATACAACCTGAACATGAAAAAGGATCTGTGCTATAACACACCCAATTACAACCATCCAATTTTCATTTGGAGTTCTCTAGTGATGGAAAGCCCAGAAGCTCCCAAAGCAGCCCCTTCTGCCTTTGAAGAGCTCAAATGCTTAGGAAGCTGTTGATCGTCTCAAGTCAACATCCATCTCTCTGTGGCTTCCACCCTACATCTCCCCTCATTCCACTCTTTGGGGCAAAGCAGAGCAAGTCTAATTGCTCATCAAACTAATGGCCTAACAGCCATTTAAATATCTGAAGACCACCATCACATCCCCCATTTATGAATTATGCTCCAGGTATCTTTGAAGCACAGAGAAGGAGAGCTACCTTAGATTGAAGAGACAAACATCGCACCTCTAGCACTTTTTGGGGTGGAGGGTTGAGATTCTTGGTGGTAATCTCAATGGAAATCTTTGGGGAGATCCCTCTAAGTTTACTTCTATGACAGAAAGGAAAGAATGGAAATTGCTTCTCTCTTTTATAGCCATCATTACTAGGGCCAGGCTGTGGTGCCCTAACAGGAGAGTGAAGGATGCAGCTAACCTCCCATATAGCGCTAACCTGGATGATTCCCCATTACTCACAAGCTAAGTGCTGTTTTCATACTCTGATGTAGTCTTAAAGCATCAATGAAGCTGCCTTTGACCTGTCTCCCTATGGCGAAGTATAGAATTAGAAAAAACAAGCCCGTTTATGTGATCCAGTGATTCATATGATAACTGCACCCACACAGGGCCCAGGGCCTACATTCCAAGGCAGAGATGATGGTGGGTACAAGACAGGTAGGATACTGGTAGAGGGCCTACCTACATGAGATTTTCCAAATTTCATCCACCAAATGTCTAATATGCCCACTTTCTCAAAGTGCCCATGTAGGGCTTTGCCTCCAGAACAAAAAAGGAGTATTTGGGAGAGGGGGTTGTTAAGGAAAATATCATGGGTTCATCAAATTTAGATCTGAAAGTAGCCTTAGACATTGTTGAATCCAATCCCTCCTCCCCTTCATGAGAAAGCTCATAACCTGAAAAGGGAAGAGGTTTCCAGAGCAAGTCAGTGAGTGGCAGAGACAGGATTCAAACCTACATCCTCCGAATCCAGACCACTCTGCCACTTTTTCATCTGTTCCCAAGGAGGGCTGCTGCTAGAAATGAAACACTGATGCTGTCTATTCTATAGCATTGAAGAATTGGCACAGAGAGAGAATTGGAGGCCACCAATTTCCATGAAATTAATCATATATAACTGTGTAAGAACTATGGGACTGGAAAAAGGATCAAGAAACTAGAATGAATTCTACCCACAAGCATTTATTGAGTGCCTACTAAGTCCCAAGTATAGCTTAAGGTGCTAGACATACAGATACCAAAATGAGAATGCAAATTTCTGATCTCAAGAAGCTCACACTTTAATAGAGCAAGAGTTTTTAACCTCACTCTACCTATCTGAAGTTTAGCAAGTTCATGGAGTTGGATGCAAAGGCATGAAGGTGAGAGAGCTAACATTGTGCATGAGAATCAGGTAGTAGGCCAATCTGGTTATTGTGTAGACTGCAGGAAGGTTAAGATAATGCATAATCAACCTGGCAAAGAATCTGAAGGGCTCTGGACCATGACTCCAGAATGCTTTCTTTTGCTTTGTTTGTAGATCTTTGATAAAAACCCTTTCTGAAGTTTCTAGGCTTGACCTAAAAAGTTCTCAAGACATAAATGTTTTGCGTCTTCTATCAGATTCATGAATTTCAACAGCAGCAGGCCAGGGTGCAATATTCAATCATTTATAGCATCTGCAGTGTGACATTTTGGTTACATGATTCAAAGGGCACTGCAGCTTTTTCTGTGGAGTGAGGAAAAATTGGGTCCCAAATCTCTTTGTGGAAGACCCCTCACTGTCTTCTTCTGCTTTATTTATGAAAAGGAGCCTGTATTCTTTGCATGAGAATATCAGTAAGTCACCTTATTTCTCTATTCTTTCCAGCACAGCATTCTTTCATTTTCTATGAATTAGCATTATAAATATTGGGGAGGGGAGGGCAAAGAGGAAATGTTTACAAAATAAGTGATTAAAGAAACCATTTTCTCATGAGAATCCCATATATCTTTGACAGCATATGGGTTTATGACTGTCTTGCTCACAAAATTTGAATGAGCAAATACTGTATTTCGAGATACCAATGAGATCAATGAGTAGGTAAGCTTCATTGCATTTTCGAGAAAGCTTTAGGCCATGCCAGTAACGGGAAACTTACGTGAATAATATGCTGCATGGAGTTCTTATCATCTGTGCCAATGAAAAGATTGATCAGGACTTTTTTCCCAAAATTTGAGTTCAACTCTGCAATGGATTGTTCAGCTGTCCAAGAACTACCTAAGGTGTTGAAAGGCAAAGTCAGGCTTTTAAAGACGTGTATAGAAAGTGGAGATTAATGTGAAATTCTTTTCGAATTTGGTGACAAACATATTCTATGTGCCAACTGCCTTACCATATACTGTTTCCCAGTTGTCCATTGCTACTGGCCATTCATGGATCTCTGGTAAGAGTTTTAACAAAGGTTCACCACCTCTGCTATCAATTACAGCTTTGGGAAAGAGGGAAGAAAGAAAGAATTCAATAGGAAGTCTGTGAAGAGTTTTGTGCCCAAGGTATCAATGTGTGGCTATTGATAAGATCTACAGACTAACAGCCATGTGAAAAACACTTACATTCATTTAAGCAGGATCTGTACAACGTTTTGGCTTTCTGTATTGCTACTATATCTTCGGTTTTCGGCTCCTCAAGAACACCTGAAATAGGGCATTTAAAATAGGCATCAACACTCGTCTCCAACCTCCATGAATTTGCACAGGCTGTTGCCATGATTATTCACCTCTATCTCCCACAATCCCTAGCTCCCTTCAAAGTTCAGCTCAAGGGCCATGTCTTCTAAGAGGCCTTTCCTTGTTCTCCCATTTGTTAGCATTCCCAGATATTATTTTGCATTCATCTTGTATTTATTTGGCATTACTTACATGTGCACATGTTTCCAACCAGTGGAAGATAAACTCCTTGAAGGCAGGTACTATTTTTCTATTTATATCACCCAGGTCAAGCCTAGTGAATAGTGCACCTCACAGGGACAAAATATATTCTATTTGAATTGAAGTGAACTCAACTTTACAATTTTAATTAAGATTCTCCGCAAGTTCAATGTAAATCTTGTCTTCCTAGACACAGACCTGTTCTTTTCTGGTTCAGGTATAAGAGAAACCTCTTCCAAAACCAAAGTGACCATTTGTTTATGTATGGGTGTATGTGTAGAAACAAATCCACTGCATTTTAATCTGCACTGATGACATGTTTCACATGAAGATTCTCAAAACAACCTAAAGTAAAATGGAAAGAATCCCTGAATGTCAAGTGGATTTATGCCTCAGGAGACTTGGAATCAGTCAATCAATCACCAAAGATGCATTTATGAAGCACCTATAGCTAGGAAAACCAATAAACAGTCCCCATTTTCAAGGTGCTGATGTTCTCCGAGGGCAATGAGGAGTAGTGCATTTGGATGGAGTCAAGAAGACCTAGGTTCAAGCCTGGTCTCTGATACTTCCTGGCTGTGTGACCCTGGGCAAGTTACATTATATCCCAATGCCCCAGGTGACTCTTTAAGACCCTAAGTTATGGGATTGAGTTGTCTGTATCGTGGGGGGAGTTTACATATTAGAACTTGTCCGCACTGAGAAAATCATGGGTTTGGGCCAAAAATTTTTTTTAAAAGATGGATTATCTTTATTTATAATTTATATAGTGTATTTATTTATATAATACATAATGATTATTAATATAATATTATATTTTATATTACAATAAATAGTAATACCTAATTATCTCTATATAATTGATCCATGTTAAGGTGCCTGCTTGTTGAGAAGTCACCAAATATAAAAACTTATTCTTCTACAAAATAACCTTACAGGAGAGAAAAATAGAGTCCCAAGGATATGCCAAGTTGTGGTACAATGGAAAGAACTCTCTTTCTGGAGTCGGAGGATCTGGGTTTCAAATTCAGCCTTGAATGCCCATTGCCCATGTGGCCTTGGAAATGTCATTTAATTTACCTGGGACTCTATTTCCTCATCTGCAACATGAAGGCACCAGATTAGATGGCCTCTGAGCTATTATCTAAGGATGGGTATGTCAGTAACAATGCGGTTCTCACTTAACTGCTCACCTACAAAAGCTTACAACCAAGGAGAAAAACTTGTATGGGGTGAAAGAACCAAAGACATGTCAAATGCTATGAAGATGTGTATTCATGCTGGGGGTTTTCTGGGATTGACCCAGGAAATGATCTCTTTCACTGCTTTCCTCCTGAAGGGGTGACTGGAATTACGGAATTATTCTTTCTTGAAAATTCCAAAATGGTCACTCAGCTCGACTTTCTTGACTCTTCATTGCTATGATAGGTTAAGCATGTGCTCTTACCCACACAGAGGTCCTTCCATCCCCTTGAATGAATACTCAAGAAGCAGAAAGTTCATTGGCTCTACTGTCAGAGGACTTGGGTTCAAATCCCAAATGATACTTATTCTTTGTAAGACCTTGGTCAAAAAAAAATAACCTCTATGAGCCTCAGTTTCCTCCTTTATAAAATGAGGTTACAGTTGAAATAGTTGGCCTCTAGATCTATGATCTAGATATAGATCTATGTATGAGACTACACAATTACTATACCTCCATCACTTTTTGTCTCCCAATGGAAGGGGTCGATCCCTCTCACTCAGGCTATTCTCCGGTGGCTTACATTGGCTGCTAAAATAAACCTTTGTAATTTGCTCTATAACTGCCACCTTTAAAAATATTGTGTGCCCAAAAAGAAGGAGTTTGGTACCCAGAAACAAATCCACTGACCTTTCAGAACGACTTCTAGCTCATCTCGTAAAATGTCAAAGTTACTGTAACGTGAGCTGGTCTCTGGAATGACGTTCCGCTTTAACCAGCCTCCGCAGGCATATTTGAAAAAGTCTGTACAAGGGTTGACGGTGTCATCCATGTTCTGAATCAGCCGAGCCGCTAAAATACAAAGGAAATAAATATTTGGATGTAAACATTTACTAGAAAAACACACACTAAATAGATTTCTGGGCAGCGTATCAGGGATGCAGGGGAGGGAGATGGCAGAGAGAGCAGAGACCTTGAACCTGTGCCTAGGCCATCATCAGTTATGCAGATCAGACATTAGCATCAAGTTAGAGAAGCAGTATAATATACAATATAGTCAGTGTTCTTTCTGCTAGGAGAAATCCTGGATTCAAATCCGAACTCAGCTCCTTGCTATCTATGACTTTGAGCAAGTCACTCAATCTGGGCCTCAGTTTTCTAATCTGTAAAATTGGGGAGGGAGCTAGATTACATAAATGCTAAGGTCCCTCACAGCTCTATTTATTGCAGATCCTTTCATTCCCCTTATTGTACAAAATTGTCCAAATTATGTGTATGTGCAGACCAGGTAGTCCCTTCTCTCTAAATCAATGAGTCTGTGTAAAGTGCCTCCACAGGGCCCCATGATAGAAACTGGAGATACAAGGACATAATAAAAATTGCCCTTGAGGATTCAGTCTCAGAACCAATACACATCATCTCAGCAGGCACTTAGACCAGTCTACTCAAAGAATGACCTTTTCTACTGAATACCCAACAAATGATCACATACAGTTTTGGGAAGTATGATCCTCTCAGATGAGGGGAAACACATAACCTTCCAGAGGTATACAGCCCATTCCTCTTGGGGATAGCGCTAATTGCTTGGAAGTTTTTCCTGACAGCCAGACAAAAATGTCCTCTTTGCAATGTTCACACAGTGGTCCTAGTTCTGACCTCTAGGGAAAAATAAAGGAAACACGTCTAATCTCTCCATTAAATAAATAAATATTTTGTTGGTATTTAAATGTGTATATTTATATTTGATTTTTTTTACTTGTACATTTATTCATTTGTTTATTTATTCATTACTTCCTAACTTCTTGCAACAGAATCCTCTCTTTTAATAAAGTACCCCAAACCAACTGGAACAGTTAAGCTCTTCAATGTCTGCCTCATTTTGTACCTAAACTCTTCAGAAAAGAGGCAGGAATGCTTCATCATCAATCATCTGAACTCAGGATTGGTCACCATGCTGAGCAGAGATGGCTTGGAAAGATGGTTTCCCAAGGTGTTTTCCTTCCCATCATCTCTCTCGTACTGAACAACTCTTCAAATACCTGGTGACAACTGTCATCTTTACCTGCAGTCTTCTCTTCTCCAGTCTAAACAATCCCACTTTCTGTGATTAGTTTTTTTAAAATACTCTAATGTCTTTGATGTATTATTTTTTCCTCTTTTCTATTCAATTTTTAAAATTCTGAGTTTAGCAAACATTTCTATATACGGAGTAGGAGAGAAAAAAATTGTGCCCGATGAGGAAACTCTATTATATACAGCTTGCTTTAAATATAGATATATAAATATGTATAAAAAGTAAATTCAAGCTGTTACTTTCAAAGCTGTCCTGCTTTTCTGTGCTTCCTTCTAAGCTTCCTTTTGTTCCATCTGTTTTAAAAATGTTTCAATGACCTTCCCTTGTTTCTTTTTGGAGGTCTATCTCTAGCTCTGATGTCACTCCCCCAATTTCCCTACTACCTCAAAAATAAAAATACTTGTACCAAATAAGCAAAATCAAGCAAAACGAATTCACACACTTGCCTCATCCAAAAATATGTCTCACTCTCCACCCTTTTGTCAAGAGATAGGCAGGTAACATTCTTTATCATCAGTCCTGTGGTCTGCATTGATCAGAGTTTTTAAATCTTTAGTCTGAATAATGCTGTACTGTATACATGATTCTAGTTCTGTTGATAAAAATCTACCCAGGTTTATCTGAAACTGCCCTTCAACCAATTCTTGCATGTGTAAACTTGAAGTTTGCTTGCACTTCTCTGGAAGCTCTCCAGCTTGCCAATGCCTTTCTTAAAATGTAGTGTCCAGAACCGAACTCAGTACTCCAGATGAGGTCCAACCAAGACAAAGTACAGAGGGACCATCACCTCTTTATTTCTGCAATATTCTTATGTTTACCTTATTGCAGTTCAAGTTGATATTAATTTTTTGGCTACCATATCATGCTATTATATTTATTTTCTGCTTAAATTTGTTTGCTTCATTTGTGAGTGTCCCTCAAATCTAAGAGGGAATCATATAATTTTTTTTGACTAGGCAATGGGGTTAAGTGACTTGCCCACTGTCACACAATTAGCAAGTGTTATGTGTCTGAGGCTGGATTTGAATTCAGGTCCTCCTGAATTCAGGGCCAGTGCTCTATCCACTGCACCATCTAGCTGCCCCATATCATATACTTTTAAAAAAATTCAATTGTACTTTGTTTTCAGTTCCAAATTTTCTCCCTTTCCTCTTCCATCCATTGAGAATGCAAGGAAAAAAAATCTAATTGCAAATATTTATAATCATAAGAAACAAATTTGCTCAGTAGCCAGGAATCATAGACTATTGGAGCTAGAAGGAGCAGTAGACATCATCTGGTCTTGGAAAGCAGCAGAGCATATTGAAAATGGCACTTGAGTTGGATTAGAGGACTGAGGTTCAAATCCTGTCTCCATTACTTACCACCTCTATACAAATGGGCAAGTCAGTTAACCTCTCTGAGCCCCTGTTTCCTCACCTGTCAAATAGGAGGGAGTTAGACTAAATGGTCTCTAATGTCCCTGCCACCTCTTTATCTAGGATCTGATGTCCAGCAGTTAGCACATAGTAGGTGTTTAATAGATGTTGACTGAATAGCTCATAACCACTCCTTGCTGGCTTCTTTCTGTCTAAAAATAACTCATATTCCCCTCCCTGCCCCTCTCACCTAAGTCTTTGATTTAATCTAGTGGGGAACTCTCAGTATGGAAATTTCCACCACAGATGCAGACTGCCGACTCATTTGTACCTTAAAGTTCTTGAGAGATGACATATGCACTGGAAAGATATTTGACTGGACCACAGTGATACAGTTAGCAGGTATTGGAGGCAGGACTTTAAGGTCCGCCTGACTCCAATGCCAGTAGTCTATGCACTATGCCATATGGTCTCTCAGTTCACCTTTATATAACACTTCAAGGTTTACAAAGCACTGCCAACTCTACAACCATACCAGGAAGTTCTTGTACCACTGCCTACACTTTACAGATAAGGAAACTGAGGCTCAGCTGGGCAGTAGGACTTGATTGTGTTAAAAGAACTGGTACATGTTGGAGGCAAGATTCCAACACAGGTCTTTTGTTGAGAAGTTTAAGGCTTCTTCCACTACACTGATCTGTCCCTCAAAGAAATGAGGAAGGTCGATGTCTTGGGTCTGAGCTAGATGGAGCTCAGATTACAGCCTAAAGCAACCTGAGCACCTGAAGGTGAAGAAATTTCACCTTTTGAATGACCTTTGAGTGACTTTGAGACTCAGTTGGATTTCCTCACTTGGTTGAATCCTATAAGAATTTTGGTTATAGAACTGTTTAAAAATGGCTACAACATATAATTTGTGTTCATTGATTTGTATAAGCTTGCATACATTGCTTATCAATATAAGCAATTTACATCATAGGTTTTGGTTTTTGCTTTTTCAATTCTTCTGCTCTTTCAATGGTCCCTAGGAACTCTTAAGGAAAAAAAAAACAAGTCAAATCCACATATGTACTTCACCAACACCAACAGGCAAGTCCCTGAGCTAAGTTCTATGGGGGTTATGAGACAAGTGACTTGGATTCTAACTTTCAGATCATCAGCCTCAGGGATAGAGGGACCTTAGCTGGAAGGAGGGCTTTTTCAAGACTTGATTAGCAACCTACTAGTTGCCAAGCATTGTGCTAGGTGCTTTACTATGGGATCTCACTTGATCCTAACTACAACCCTGGGAGGTAGGGGCTATTACTATTCCCATTTTATGGTTGAGGAAACTGAAGCAGAAAGAGAGTAAATGAGTTGCCTAGGATCACACAGCTAATAGGGTCTGAGGAAGGATTTGAATTTGTCTTCCTTTACTCCAGGCCCAGTGCTCTATATACTGCATCACCTAGCTGCCTATAGGTAATCTAGTCCAACAACCCATTTTGCAGATGAGGAAATGAATGAAAAAGCATTTATGAAGCCCTTATTATGTTCCAAGTACTGTGATATACCCTAGGGATAATTCCTGACCTTAAAAAGTTTACATCCTAATGGGAAACACATGGGAAATGATGGCTACTTTGGTCCTAAAAGTTCCAGGGATAGTGAGGGGACCCACGGGGGAATAGATGGACACACACCTTCTAAGAACAACAGCAGAGTCAATGTTATCCTGCTTCCAGGAGTGGAGGGCAGGAGATGGATGAGGGGAGCCCAAAGCAGCAAGACAACTGATGAGACTGTTTCAAAGATGGCTGGACTGGGAGCTGGAGAGGGCAGTGAACTGATATAGGGGCTGGGTCAGGGAGTCAGTCACCAATCAGGACAGTGGGGCCTCTGGGCAGAAGTTCTGAAGATACAAGGGCATGTATTTGGGGCTGAGTGTTCAGAAGATGGCTGCAAAGGTTAAATGCCTTGTCCAAGGTCCAAGGGGCAATATACACCGGATGCAGGATCCAGGACTGAGGAAGGTGAGCCTCTTTTCCCTGTTCCCTCCTTGGTGCATGGTCTTTTCATCCCTTCCTGGAAGACTATCAAGCTTCTTGAGAAAACACCTTTCACACACTGGGTCTTAAGAGCTTGCTTCACATCAAATATGCCCAGCAGAGAAATGGATTGCTGAAGAAACCACAGAGTTTACCTCACTTAATCTCTTTCTACATTTAAGGAAACTATGGGGTGTGTGTGTATATGAGTATATATATATATATATATATATATACACATACACACACACACATATATATATATATATATTTCTAGAGAGATGAGGTATACCAGGGTCATGTGACTAAAAACTAAAAGTCCCACAGTTAGGAAGGGGAATAGAAGCTCCTAAGCAAGGAACTTTGAATTTTGAATGAGATAAAGGCACAAAG